CCGTTAAGCCCACGATTAACGAAGTGCTCGATATCTGTCGGGCGTTGAAGTTCTCGACCGTTGACCGCAAGTCATTAGAGCGGCAAATACTTTGCGATTACGGCTATAATACGGCCACTTATTGGCTAATCAAGAATAACCCGTCTGTCTATCAGGTATTGTTCCCTCACTTTCTAGTAATTCATTTGATACTTAGGTTTTGTATGTTTTTGTTTAGTCCCTGAAGTCGGAGGCGTCACCACTGATACCACACATGAAACTCGATCGCCGCCGGAGTCGGAGTGTGTCTAACATCGCGGCCGCCGTCGAGAGCGCAGGTATTTTATTAATCGCGCCGTTTGTTAAGAAACTGACGGAACATGTGATGAGTTTGTTGAATGACTTGAAATCTATACTCTTGAAAAAGTTTCAATACCTATAATTAGTGTTTGTTTTTTTGTGTGTGTTTTGACTAATCGCTGTCTGTTTTGTGACAAATTTCTAATATAATTATGAATTAAATTGATTTTTTTAACACTTTTACGTTTCATTCATATTCTTCCGCCACTCGTGTGAAGAATATTCGCCGAAAGCCGTGTCCGCCAAACGTAAGCCAGAGTTCGAGACACTGAAGGGATTTCAGGTGAAGAAGCCGTCGCCGAACGGCGCCCACAAACCCAAACCGAGTCCACTCGCTGTCAGCCGTAACGACGGTAACAACACTCCCACCCGAATACCGGCGGTTAGACGCGTGGCCTATAAGCCGACGGCCAAAGCCAACGACTCGATCCGTATGGTTCGCGCGCGCCTTCAGTCCGTCGACGGCGTCAGTCCGGCAAAGACGGCCCGAGTGTTGGCACCCATTAATGACACCTATTGTACGCCCGATCGCCGACAGAAGAGTTTTGTCGCGAAGACACCGAATCTAAACCAAACGACTGGTCAGTCGTCGACAGCGCCGAAAACTGAGAAGAAGTCGCTGTTGAAGCGATTGCTGGAGTCGGCGACGCCTACCAAACGAGTGTCGCCACGAGTGGTGCGACTGTCCGGCGCTGACAGCAAGAACATCACCCGAACTGAGTTCACAGATCCGCAGCAACTGATCGCACAGTTGGTTGAGGTGTTGGCCAAACGCAATGTGCTCTGCACTCACAAGTCGTGAGTGTTTTTTAAAATAATTTTATATTTTATTGATTTGTTTTTAATTATTTTTACTTTTGTTTTGTCAGTAATTTCCTATTGAGATGTGTGTTGTCGTCGATGAACACAATAGTGTTGTCTTTCAATCTGGAAGTTTGCAAAACAGATGAGATGTGCGTTATATTCAGGAAGCGATTGAAAGGCAGTGCTTGGGATTACAAACGCATTTGCGATGACATCGATGGGTTGTCCGCTAATTCACTTATTGATTGCTAATTAACACATTTATTGTTGGAACGGATTATTGCTTTGATGTTTGATAAGAATTGTATTTTTCAGATGTGTATAAAAATATTTTTATAGATTTTTAAATTCATTTAATATGTATTTTTAATATTTTTAAATTAGATTTTGATAAACAATACGAATTATGTTCTCAAACTAGTTGTAAAAATTTTGTATTTTATTTATAAATTTTCTTATCATAAAAACTCTTCGGGAATATTGTTATGCAATGATTGCGAACTCTAGTGCCGTAACGGATGATCATTGTATGGAATTGTGTTATAAATCAATACATTTGTTATATTGTTATCACATAAGAGTCGCCTCTAATAAAGAGTGGATTTTATAGAAAAATAAAACTTTTTAAAAAAGTTAAACGACTTATGTTTTGCTGTTTGAGTGGTTTTTATTATCAAATTGAAAGTGAATATTATTTATGTATTCATGAATGAATTCAATTGATATTATTCCCGGTGTTAACCAAATTTGAATCATTAATAAAAACAAAGAGAATTCTGAGTTTTGTTTCGCAAATTATTTTAATTAAAATGTTATAAAATAAAGATTGAATTAAACCATTAAATTCTCTGAAATACATTAATGTAAATGTATACTTAATAAAAGCATATATTAATTCTGCTAGTTTATTAGCTCATAATATTGCATGTAATTACCGGTGTTTAACTTACAGTATAATATTGATATAATTTGCATGTACACTATTTGATAAATTAACATTGTATTTATTTAAATATAGTTATTAAACATTGAAACGAGCATTTAGTTTAATTAC